GAACATATCTATGTATTGTATGTATCTGTGTGTCTCCTTATGTGTGTGTTTGTATGAGCCTGTGTCACTCAGTAATGATGTGTGTCTATTCCTGTGTGTATCTGAGCATGTCTGTGTACTGTGTCTCTGTGTGTCTGTGTATGTGTGTCTGTGTGAGGCTGTGTCACTCAGTAATGATGTGTGTCTGTTCCTGTGTGTATCTGAGCATGTCTGTGTACTGTGTCTCTGTGTGTCTGTGTATGTGTGTCTGTGTGTCTGTGTGAGCCTGTGTCACTCAGTAATGATGTGTGTCTGTTCCTGTGTGTATCTGAGCATGTCTGTGTACTGTGTGTGTCTGTGTGTCTCTGTATGTGTGTCTTTTTATGTGAGCCTGTGTCACTTTGTCTGAGATGATGTTTGTCTTTCTGCGTGTGCGTATGCGTATCTGCACACGTGTTTGTGTTTCTCTGAGCACGCCTGGCACTTGATGACCACGTGTGCAGACGTACACTTGGATGGAGGTCTCGTCCCCAGGGTGCCTGTGTGGTTAACTGAGGTCAGGCCCCTTCCCGTGGCCGGAGGCTCCAGGGAGAAAAAGCTGTGGTCAGCATCTGTGGTTTGGACCTGCACTATTTTTAAATTTTAAAAAAAGAAAATAAGACAAACAAGTGGAAGCCCACTGCTGTTTGAAAGCCGGATCAGATTTAGATAAAGCCAGGGCCGGGGCGGGGCTCAGAACTGGACACATTCTATGTGAGTGAGGAATTCCCACCCTGCAGGGTCTCATGAGACTCTGCTATGCTGGCTTCATCCAAACTGACCCCCATGAAGCTCAGGGATCCCACCGAGCCCTCCTCTGCCAGCTGACCCTGTAACAGGTGGGGTGCTCATGCCTTGAACAGACCCCAAACGACAGTCATCCGCTGGGGCCCCACTGCCAGCCGCTCCTCGTGCCATGTCTTGGAGAGGGGTTGCTGGCCGTTGGCTTGCTTAAGCACTCATTTTCCACAGAGAAGCAGGTTTTCTTCAGAACGTGGATTAAAACACAGTGTTGTGAGAGGAAAGTTCCCTGAGCCACTGTGAACTATCGCTGTCGCCCACGCCTTTAACCACTTCCTCGCTTTATCAAGGGAGCGGGATTTTCTTAGCTGATGAGTGCTGAAACATGGGGTGCCCATCCTGAGAGCCCCATCTTCTTCCAACCATCTGCCCTGGCCCGAGGTCTACGGGCTGAGTGCTCTATAAACAGCGGGGGCTTGACCTTGAATGTGTTTACCCTGAAAGTGTGTGCAGGGATGTGTGTGTGCTCACACACATGCTGGGTCTGCATGTTAACATCTCTGGTAAAGAAAAGCATCTCCGGTCAGTTGTCATTATGGAAACAGGAGCCCACCGACCGTGAGTCTTCTCAGGGTGGTGTGGGGTTTCTGGATGACCGCGCGCACACACACACAAGCACACACATGATGTGGTTGGGACCACAGCCCCCGCGGTGCTGCTCGAACTAGCCACTCACCAGCTGGTAATCTTCAGTGAGATTCAGACCCTCTCTGTACTTGAGCATTGTTTTCGTAAAAATAAGGCATAAATAATGCCTGTCTCATTGGGTAAATCATGGACTTAGGGCATGTTGCTGAAAGAAGCTGTTCCTTGGAAGAGGGACATAGAACTTGGAAAGGAAGAGGGTCAGTGAAAGGGAGTAAGCCCCTCAACCAGACAGATTGACACAGGGACTACAGCAATGGATTCAAGTGTGTTGGAGATTGTGAGGACGGCACAGGAGAGGACAGGGCTCGGATCTGTGGTTCACGGAGTCACTATAAGTTGTACTTGACTCAGGGGCACCTAACAACAACATTGGGTGAAGGAGGGGATTGAATGAATTAATACATGTAAAATAAGGAGCCCTGGTGACACAGGGATTACAACACTTGGGTGCTAATTTAAAGGATGGTGATTCAGCCTCATCAACTTCTCCAGGGAAAAAGAGGAAAGAAGGTTTACGTCCCTGGGCCCCCACACATCAGTTCTCCTCTGTCCTCCAGGGTTGTTGTGAGCTGGTATAGATTTGATAGCAGTAGAACTTTTTATTTATATGTAAAATACTTGGGACCTTGCTTGAAATGTAATGAGTACTCAAAATATATTTAATATATATTAAAAAACACATTGCCTTCGAGGTGGAACCAACCCATAGCTGGTCTTCCAGCAGGTTCCAGAGAATCAAATGGAGGCGATTGACTGTCCTTCTCCCACGGAGCTGCTGAGGGGTTCAAATCACCTGTGAGGAGTGGCCTTGGGGTTAATAGCCTAACTCTATACAGGACAGGCCACCAGAGCTCTGAATAGACATTTTTGTTGTAAATGTTGTTGTTGTGTACCATCGAGTCTGAACTGGTCCATAGCTGACCCTCCAGTGGGTTTTCAGAGGCAGTTAATCACATGGGAAGAGATTGCCCTCAGCAGAGAAGCTGGTGGCCTTGAACTGCTGGCCTTTGGGAATGCAGCATGGCTTCTTGCCACTAGGCCACCAGAGCTCCGAATGGACATTAGCTGTTGTTTCTTTCTTGTCGTTACACTCCTAGTTGCTAGTGCATATGGATGCTTGGTAACTGAATCTTCCCCCTTGCTACCACCGCCTTTGTTAGCCTGTCCACAGAGCGGGCACGCTAGCTTTCCCTCCTCTAAGCTGCTGCTGTGACAAATCCACTAAATAAGCGGACAGAGACCTGGCACAGTGAGAGCCTGTCTGGGTGGAGCTGGTCAGTGCAGCTGACACATTACAGATGGGGGTCAAACCTAGGGAGGTGACACACTCAAGATCACACAGCCTGCTGGTCACAGGTGAGGCCCTTCCACCTCTGCCCGGGGTCTTGCAGCAAACAGACTCTGAGCCCAGCTGTCTGACTGCCCCTTACATTATTCTGAACTTGGCCAAAATCCCGTGACAAATCTACCCTTGTCGCCACGTCCATTCTGACTCACACCGATGCTGTGGGGCAGTGCACAGCTGATACTTGGTGTCCATGGCTGTAATCTTTGTGAAAGCAGACAGCCTCTCTTCCTCCTGAGCTGTGGCTGGTGGCTTTGAACCTCTGGCCTCTGTTAACAGATGAGTTCTTACCCATCCTGCCAGAGGGCTCCTTTGAGCCTTGGCCAAATTCCGTGGTGTCCATATTCCTTTATCCCGTCCATGTTGGCATGATGGGAGGACCTTACAGGGCTGGGTGAGGACAAAATGAGTTGACACAGGGAGCTCTCAGACCACAGGAACTGCTATTATTGCTCTTGATGATGGAAGAGGAGGTTCTTTTTATCTGACCACCTCTTCCTCGTGTTAACCATGATTCATGGTAGGACACTGGTCTGAGCTGGGGTCAGAGAGGAGGTGGCCTGAAATAGTGTGCTGGTCAACCCCACTCCTCTCCACTGCTCTCTCCTGGACAGACCATGTGGTTCACCCAGCAGGCCAGGCCCAGGGACCCCCTTTCCCGGACCATCTCCCACACGTACACACTTGATGGAGATGCTCCCAGTGACAGAGACTCAATCGTCCTGCACATTATCCGAGTTTCTACATCTCCTGTGGCAGCGTCTGTTCTAAAGTCCAGCCCTGTCCTAACCAGAAGAGGAAGCTTGCTGTTGGGGGAAACCCAGCAGCAGCCTGTTTGCTTGCGCCGGGGTCACTGGGGGTGAACAGCCATTAACAAGAATGGAGAAAATGTGAATTGATGTTCAAATGTTAGCCAATAACATGGATTTATGCCAGAGACACAAGATTCGTTTAACATTTGAAAATCAATCGATCGAGGTATAAATAACAGTCTTTATGGTTGGATTTTCTGAATGGTTGGATTTTATTTACTAAAATTTTATTTAACATTTTTCTATTTAGGCTCATGAGGGATACTGATTTATGGTGTTCCCATAATTACACAGCTTTGTAATATTTAGTTTTTCTTTCGATACCCAGTGTAAGTGGCATGCTAGCCTTACAGAAAGAATTTAAAATGTTTCTTTTTTCTGAAAAAGTGTGTGCATGATTGATATTACTTCCTCTATAAAAATTACTTCCTCTATACAATTTGATAGAATTTATTAATGAAAAAAAGAAAGACAAGAGTAGTAAAAGACCACAGTCACAGAAAGCTCAGGAGAGGTTTACACAGAGACAGAACCAGTGTCGGAGGCTTGCACGCCAATAGAACCAATGTTGGGGAGTTATCAGGCATAGGAAGAAAGACAGAAGGTGTGGGAGGATAAACATGTAAGTTGGGTGAAGAGAAAAGCAATAGACAGTAAGAGTTTGATGGAAAATAAAGACCTCATCAAGTCAGAACCAACTCGTCGCCGACCTTCCGGCAGGTTTTCAGAGGTGATGAATCACACAAAGGGAGATGGTCATCTTTCTCCCTCAGAGCAGCTGGGGGATTCAAACTGCCTACCCTTGAATTAGCAGGGCAACTCCCTATCCACTAGGCCATGAGAGCCCCTAGATGTTATTGAAGCATTGTACTTAATGAATCATGCTAATCAATGGTATAAAACAATCATGATAATCAATGGTTATAAAACACAATCTCTGTGAATAATTATATGAAAAATCAATATGGTTTGTAAATTTAAAAAAAACCCAAATATTAAAACTAAGGATAAAATAAAGGAGCCCAGGAGGTGGTGGTGGAGGGACATGGCTGGTCCCTCTTTGGCAGAGTGCTAAATCCCAGAGTACAGTTCTGACCTTTATCTCCTGTCCACAGCTCCTGTCTGCCTCAGTCTAGGACTTCAGCCTCAAAGCCAAGATTTGTTAGATCTAGACCAGTTCCTGGCTTAAGTTATACAGCTCAGAGATGTGACAGTGGTCAGTCCTGACCCCTCAGAAGCTTCTGGGTATTCCCTGAAAGGGCTCATGGGGTCACCAAGTGTGGCTGAAGGATGCTCTGCCCTGACGTGGCCTCAAGGTGCAGGGAGAGGAAAGAGACCATCAAGACCATGGTTGATGAATCTGTTTTCCCTTACAGGGGGGCTCTGCCCTCTCCCCAGCTGCTGTCATCAGCCGGGAGAGGGCTCGGCAGCAGGCCACTGCTCTGGCTCGGGAGGTGCGCTGCCCCACGTCACCTGTCCAGGACCTGGTCTCCTGTCTCCGTCAGAAGCCTGCTAACATCGTCAATGACGCTCAGACCAAGGTGGGTGCCGGTGTGTGAGCGAGGCTGGGTCGCCTCTGACCTCTGCCAGTGAGAGGGGACATGACCCAGCCAAGACCACACAGCAGGCTGACGACCAGCTGGACCAGGATGCAGATGCCCTGGCCCTCACTGCTCTGCACGGACCATGGCACGGAATGGGCCAGCGGGAGGACAGCGGGTAGATTGCCCTGAGCCTCGGTTTCTTATCTGTAAAGTGGGGCCGTGATGCACACTTTGCAGAGCCAGAGGGTAAAATGAGATTTTAAATGTAGAAGGTTCATCCCACTTCTGTGGTCATGGCAGGACCCAGGTTCAAGTCACTGCCGGGGCCGTGACAGGACCCAGACACGTAGGAGCCGCACACGCTGAGCATGAGAGACACGGCAGCACAGATGGGTGGAGGATCCTCAACTTGCTGCCAAGTGCTGCCTTCTCCAGCCTGTGGGAGACTTGTTCACAGCCCATGTTCTCTGGCTGGTCCTTGACGATAGTGACAAGGACACTAGCAGAAATACTGTCATCTCAGCTGATGCTGGGCCCATCAGTGATGATGAATCTAGAGACACAGACAGAGAGCAGGTCTATTTGGTCCCCTAAATACGGGATGTTTGAATAGCAGGTAAGTGGATGGAGTTTGTCTGTGGGAACCTGGCCCAGTCCTGTCCTGCCTCACTCACACATGTAAGGGTCCAGGGACCCCTTTTCCTGTCATCTGTTACTACCTTGGGATAAAGGGTCTGAGAAGGTGCCTGGTGACCAGTGGTTATTCAGGTGAGTCTCACCTTGCAGCCCTGCACCTGTCACCCGGCTGGCTGGTGTCCTAGCCCTTTACTCAGACCTCCCAGACAACCCAGATGGGTAACGGACATGGGTGTTCCTACTGTTAGACGTGATTAAGCTGAGCAACAGAATGGATGCTTCAAGGGTCGTAAAGACAAAGCCCATACAAACCACGCACCCCTCTGTACCCTCCGTAGCTCCTGGCTGTGAGCGGTCCTTTCCACTACTGGGGCCCTGTGGTCGACGGTCAGTACCTCCGGGAGGCGCCAGCCAGGACGCTGCAAAGAGCCCGGCGGGCGAAGGTCGATCTGCTCATCGGCAGTTCCCAGGATGATGGACTCATCAACAGAGCTAAGGCCATCAAGGTGGGCAGAGGGTTGTGCTGGGGTCCAGCCAAGGGCACCCTGATGGTCGCCGGGCTGAAAATAGTGATGTGCAGAGGCCGAGAGGGGAGGACGGGAGGTGATGACGGGGATTTGTGACATGAGAGGGGTGGGGGACGCAGATATCCTAGTCATGCCTGCCACTGAATCATGTTGGTTAATGTGGCCAGGCACCAAAGGGCTGTGCAGTATTGGGGTTCCATGTGGTATCCCCACAGTTCTGGCCCATTGAGGGCCGCAGAGACAGAGGACGGAAAGTGCTGTGAAAACCAGCAGGTAGGGGAGACCCCTACCTTCTTACCTGGGGAGTATGTGTGATGGACCTGGAAATGCAGCTCTCTCTAGCTTGTTGGGGTTCAGTGAAGTCGGGGGGCAGGTGCTTTAACTGCCCAGGTGAACACTTTGTACTCAGCCTGGAGGTCGTAGCTATTAGCTAGATGTGGCTGGTTCTGGGATAGGCTCACACCTTCTGCCTTTAGCCCACACCTCTGTGGATAAATCCCTTTCATGCAAGTCTTCTTTATTGTGGACCCAGGGAAGGTGGCCCACGTATAACACAGAGATAAGACCACTCGAGGAACAAATCAATGAATACCTCCCAGCACAACCCCCCATGGGTCTCTGCCTGCACACACCCCCATGGGTCTCTGCCTGGCACCTGTTGAATTAGAGCGCTGAAATCTCAGAGGCACAGGGTTTGAATGCATGCTGTTCTGTGGAAGGAGACAGTCTCCTCCATGCGATTCACAGCCTCTGAAAACCCACTGGTGGGTCAGCTATGAGTCATTTCCAACTTTATGGAGCAACAATATACAACAATATACAGTAAACAATCTATAATAAACAGTATACAATAAACTATATACAACAAACAGCTCACTGCCATCGAGTTGGGACAACTGACCCTGCAGTGGGATCCAGAGGCTGTGAATCACGCAGGAGGATGTGATCTCGCGGGAGGATGTGATCTCGCGGGAGGAGATGCCTGTCTTTTCCCCAACAGGGTAGCTGCTACACTCGAACCACGTGCCTTTGGCTTGGCAGCACAAGCCTCTATCCACTAGGCCACAGATGAAGAAGGGAAAGAATCATTGACTCGGCCTAATCGGCTCTCTCATTCCCTTGGCTTTCCATCTTTCTCTGGCCCAATGCCTCACTCGGAGCCGTGTCCTACAGGACTTACATTCAAGGTTATTTATCACAACATTAATGATTGCGGCGAAAATTGGAAGCAACTCAAATGCCCATTAAGAGGGAGATGATTGACTAAATTAAGACACCACAAGCTATTAACTACTAGGCCTGTGCAGGGTGTTATGCATCAGGCTGCCAAAAGAAAGGTCAGAAGTTTGAATCTGTCAGCCACTCCTGGGGAGAAGGGGCAGCGGGCTCCTTGGGTAAGATTTACAGTCCCAGGAACCCAGTAGATGGTCCTGTGAGTTGGAACGGACTCAGCAGCAGTGGGTGGTGTCCACTGGGGCAACAAAATTCGACTCTTCTCCCCTAGCGAGCTGGATTCCCAGGCCCCCAGGTCCAGCTAAAGAGAGGTCTGACCTGGCCACTTTGACAAGAGCAGCGTCACCACACCCGCATGCCCTGCCCCCATCCAGCTGCAGGCCCAGCACCGACCAGACCGTGGCTCCTTCCACGTCCACTTTCTACTCTGTCTTCCGCATCTGGAGGTCAGCCCTGCGGGTGCTGGGACTTCTCTGCCACACTCTCTGCCGCGTCTCTGATGCTGGCAAGTGTTTCTCATGGTGGTGAGGTTGTTGCTAGGTGCTAATTCGAGTTGGCTCCCACTCATAGCGACGCCACGGACAACAGAAGAAGATGCCGACCCTGGGCTATCCTCACAACCTCTGGAACTGAACCAGTCCAGCTCCCTGAGCCTCTCAACTCAGCCTACTGCCACTGGGTCAGAACTGACAGAGGCTGTAAATGGCACAGAGGCAGATTTTCCATCTTCTGCAGAGCGGCTGGTGGATTCGAACTGAATGCCTTTGAGTTGGCAGATCAACTCTGTACCCATTAGACCATCAGAGCTCCCTGAATGTCAGGGTGCTATGTTCCTTAGAGAGAAAGAATGAAGTCTCAGGAAGCCTCCCACGTCCCAGGCTCTAGCCCAGGAGTTGTGGTGAAGTAACTCTGTTCTCACAGCACCATCCATGGGAGCAATTGTGAGAGAGTTCACAGATGGAGAAGTAGGTTCAGACGGGAGGCGCAGTTCACATCTGCCTGAGTCCAAAAACATCCCCTTTTATTACAGCACGTTGGGGGGGAAACTCAGGCCTTCCCTCCACCAGGCACCAGCTGGGTGTTCGAGTGTGTGCTCATGGCCAAAGAATCAGTTTCCACTTCCCTCAACCCCCTACGACACAGCCCAACTGCCCTAGTGGCAATCTTAGAAGCAGATTCCTTTCTCCCATGGAGCTACTGACGGGTTTGAACTGTCAACCTCTTGATTAGCATCCAGACTCTTTAACCACTGTGCCACCAGTGTAAGGGGCTTAACAGTTCCACAGAACTTCTCACTCTGACCCAGCCAGAAAGCAGTGAGGCCAGGATGCCGACAGCTGGTTTGACGGCAGAACAGACTGGGAGAAGTTTCATGATTGTCCCAAGTTAGTCTTCTCTATCATGTCAAGTCTCCACACAGGCCCTCTGCCTCGCCCTGTGTGAGATTCTAGAATCAGGATGATATAGCTCTTCCCTGTACCCCTGTACCACACCTGTACCCCTCCAGATGCAATCAGAACCAGAGGGAACCCAAGAATCCTCCCCAGCACGGGCCCCCAGGAAGCCCTGTCTGCGGGCACACCTGTTAGCACCCTGCCAGCCACTCATAAATGTCCCCCTTTGTTGTTGAAGCCCCCCTTTTCTAGGAACATGCTCATGTGTGTCCCCAGATCTGCCCTGGGCTCACTCTGCTCTTGATGTGCATTTTACCTTGGGTTAGTGGGTTTCCTCAGGTCCCCCACAAAGCTGCACAACACCTGGTCCGACTGCCTGGAGCTGTGTGAGTCCCAGGATGGCTGTGCTGTCAAACAGGCACCTTCTCTGGAGTCCCTGTCCCAGCAACCCTGAGCCTACCTGAACCCTATGTCCTGCAACAGCCAAGACTCTCTGCCGCCTGGTCCCCAGAAGCAGGACATGCCTGCTACAGGGAGTCACCACACCCACCCAGGACAGGAGTCATTTCCAACACTAAGAAGACTTGTGTGTGTCACCTAGCGTGTGTGAGGTCTCTTTGTGCCACTGAACTCAGAGTTTGGTGCATTTACACGTATTAAATCCCTGCCCTCAGCGAGCTCGCAGTCAGGTTAGGAGGCAGAAAGAGAGCAAGAGCACATGACTAAAACGCCGCTCTGTACCTGCTACGCAGAAAGATGAACATTCGAGTCTCATCGCTCAGGAGGTGGCGTGGGCGTGGGATGCTGGACCCCACAGGAGCCCCAACGGTGGCGCAATGATGAAGGAGCCAGCAAGCACCCTGTCCCATCTGCCTCTTATAAAGGAATATTCCGAGTGCCCTTGGAATGTTGTCAGAACCACTCTCATTCTCCAGAGCTCCCACCTCAGTTTCCCTATCTGTAAAATGGGAGGAGACCCCTCCTGGGTCTCCCATCAGCAAACACCCTCCTGGAGGTGCTGTGGGAATGCAAATATGCACCAGCCCCTGGCAAATAGGAGATGCTTGGTAATTGCTCCTTTTTACATCGATTGTTTCCTGTGAGTGTTATGATTAATGTCCCCAGTCCATAATGTTTTCCATAAAAAGCAAGAAGACAAAGAAAGTCCAGTCCCCAAGTCACTCCGGCTGAATCAAAGCACACACACACTTTCACAATCACCCCCAAATACCTCCCAGAGCCCAGCCTCAAGCCCACGTGGCCACACTTCTCAGCAGAAATGACAAGATGGGTGGGAGGGTCTCACCCCTCCCAGTTCAGCCCCTGGTCCCCGCAGAAATTCATCAGAATCCCTCAGATCAAAGAAGATGGGCAGGGGAGGGATTTTAAGTCTGTGTGAGAACCCTCCCCTCCCCCCCCCCGTCACCCAGGCCAGCAACAGCCCACCCAAACAGTCCTCAAGACCCCAGCAGCAAAGTTACGACATACCCCAGGCGCAAGAGGCCAGCTCCAGACGCGTTGCTCACAGACCACAGTGGTTCCTGAAGCAGCAGCTTTCTACTGAAATCCTTCATCAGCGCGGAGCTGGGGCTTTCTCCCTTTTCGCTCCCTCTCTGCCTTCCTGGTGAAATTGACAGTCTGCCTACATTAACCGGGCATTAATTTGCATGATCAAAAGCAGATTTGTTCCAACACGGAGTGTTCAGCCTTCTCCTCCAAGCGCAAGCATCCCCAAGGACAGCGAGAATAAACCAGGACCAGCGCGCCTCACCCCCAGCGTGGCAGGAGCTGGCCTCATCCAGGAGCAGGTGGAGTGGGGCCTGCCCGAGCGAGGAGGGGAGGGCCGCCCAGAGGAGACTTGGAAGCAGCACCTGGCAGCCCCAGGCACTGGCACGAGCCCCAGCGAGGAGAAGCAAGCCGCTGGTGACAGATTATGGCACGGGGAGGCTCCAGGCTGCACATGCATTTCCTGAAAAGAGAAGTGTGCTGAATCCCTGGGGACTCTGGGGCCCAAAGGAGCAGAGAGTGCTAGGGTGTGGACACAGCACCTGGAGCCAGAGAAGCAGTCCCCACCCCTACCTTCAGCAGCCTCACTAAGGATGATCATTTCACCAGTAGGAGTGCAAGCCCGCTTCTGATGCTCACTGTGACACCTGTCCTGTCTGTCCCACCGCCCAGCTGCCCCTTTGTCCCACTGTGGTGGGTTTATCAATGGGCTGTATCAATGGGCTCCAGCCCAGGGAGCATCAGGAGGCTGGTGCAGGAGCAGCAGGGTTTCCTCCTGTCTTCCAGCTCTGAGTGGGCGCTAACGATGGCACCTCACAATGACAACAAGCACAGGGGGCCTGCGGC